TGACTAAAAAGGCGACGAATCACTGAATGAGGTATTATGCTAAACGTGAGAGACAGTGTCTTACCACATTTTCAAACACCGAGAAGTGAGTTGAAAAGAAGACGCGTAGCGGAGTAGTTTTGACGACCTTAGAGGTGTTTGGAAATGTGGTCAAATACTGTCTTGAGTGTTTGGTACATCGTCTCAATCAAGACTGAAACCAAAGAGAAAAGGAAGAAGCTAAGTTAAATCACGAAACAGAAATATTTACACTATTTAATATCAGATCAAAAACCGTCACCGTTACGATTTCTTATTTAAAAAACTTGATGAATAATTAATGAGTTTGAGAATGTTAGTTCCCACTCTCTTCTCGAACCTATTGGCATACACTGGAGAAGTCTAGTTTATTCGAGTTAACACCTCAAGGCAGACAGTTTGAGTAATCAGCTACGCGTAGCATTCACAGCTTCCCTCCCGGCGGAACTCGAAATCCCTGTTGCAGTAGTAACCTAATACGACACCATCTGATGGAAAGGGTGCCGCAAAGAAGGCTGACAAAAAAGATCTTGATATTGCTGCTCGCTTTTCTAAAATATATAGTGTGTAGAATTAGAGTCTACTGTAACATGATTGAAGAAAAGGGAAATTTGATCGACGTTTTGGAAGAAAATACAACAAACTAAGGGCGCTGCACCACGCGTGTCGCGTCCCGTACTGGCGTTGTCTCAACGAAAACAAATCGATAAAAGCCTTTTTGACTAATTCTAATCAGAAGAAAAGCCGAGGCCGAAAAGTAACAAAGCTTAGCTCAACGATGAAAAATATTTTCCCACATTTTGAGGGACATCATGTTTTATCGTTTAGCCGTGTCTCTCATCTTTGCCTCCCTCCCCATTCAGATCAAACAGTTCCATGCAACATTCTGTATTACGAACAAATGTTTGATCGTTTGGCCACCTTTGCTAACAAAGTTTGCAAGCGTGGAATGAGTAACCAATCACAAACGGATTCAGTGACGTATTTGATTTCAGTTCTTGACCGTGCACGTCATAATTTCAGGACAAACCGCCTGATAAGTGAGCCCACTTTGATGTACGTATGTTGCACGAAACTGTTTGATCTTTAAGCCAGGACTTTAAGGTAAGATGTCCCGTAAAGAGTTTATTTTTTAACAACAAACAATCAATTAATA